CTTCAAGGTCAACAACAAACTAGCGGTTTGTCTCAATTATAGGCTCTTTGAACTGCAGGCAGTCCCTTTTTTTCCGGTCTTGGGCCTGCTTGTTTGCTGTGTTGCCCGCCCCTCAATTGAACTGCTTTTGGATGTACTGAAGATGAAAACTTCCCGTGTCCCTTACTGGACAAAAAAGAAAATTGCATTTTTGTACTCGACATGAATTCCTTTACTGGAAGTTCATTGAGGAACAAAAGGTTCCACCCCTCAGTGTTTATGGTCATTCTCCTGGTACTGCTTTGCTACAAAAAAATGAGGCATGCTGCTAGTAGTAGAAGTTTTTCTGGGCTGGCCTACATTTTGTGTCCAATCCTTCTGTAGGCAGCAGTATAACCCAAACGTTGAAGACCTCCTGTGCCCCTCAATGGACTTTAAGAAAAGGACATAATGGTAATGACAAAACTCCGATTTTTTTTTAACATATATAAAAGTGCACATATCTTTTTATTGTAACTTCTTCAGGAACTGCAAAGCAAGCACCATTCTTCTACAAAGTCTGGACACAGTGATGGGAATGGTTGAAACATTTGTTTATTTGGACAGCTCTAATAATAACTTAAGATCCTAAAACTGAGAAGTATGTTTTCTCTACAAAGTTATTATACTGTGTATCTTTTTTCTTCTTCATTTAAGATTGGATTTGCTCTATTCCATTTATATTCAGGAGTTCTTGCACTTAAAGAATGTAAAGGAGTCAGCTCCGGCAACATACTAAAGTGCCATTAGTGAATGAAATGAACCATACATCATAAGATGTTTCAGAATGTTTATGGTCTGTGTCAGGATTACACATTTCTTCTGGTGTTTATAAGCAGGTCACGTTGTAACCCCACATCCTTTGTTATTCTGGATTTCTCTGCAGGGACATCTGTAATTAGCGTAAGTTTGTTGAACACACCACGACCAAAGTATTCCGCAACCACACTGAATCCATCACTGGAACACTTCAGCTATAAAAGAAAAAGAGAAAAATGAGACCACCACCATCTGCCATGTCTAGGGACTAGAAAGGGGACTAGTTTACAGAAAAGCAAGAATACTAAATCAAGTCCTGACCATTCAGTATACTTTCTCACAAAATTAACTTACTGACAGCACTCTGCCACCTCTCCCAGTCCCACTTTGCATACCTTTGCACTGCCCCCGCCAGCCTATGTATATTCCATACATTGTACACCTCACTTCAGCTGAGCATTCAGTATAATGGTCGCAAATGGCAAGCACTCATTGATCAGTAATACACATCACTGCTGCATTCACAGCCCGGAGGGAGACAGCAAGGAGCTGAACTCCCTCCCTCTTCCTCCTGACGCTTTCCCGAGCCAGTCCCGGGCCGCAGATGGGCTAGCGGATCCCGGGATTGAGGGGGAGGCACACACCAGCACATATACACGATCGGCTGGCTATAGAGCCGCCGATTTGGTATATGTTAAACAGCCGGTAACGGCTCTCTGCAGTGCCCGTTTTTTTTCTGCCCGTGCAGAAAAAAAATGCCATCTGGAGACGGCAACCCGCTAATGCAGCAGTGCCGTCCGTCCGTTTTTTTTCAATGGGCGGACGGCAAGTGGTTAAATAAAGATTTCTGCAAATTAATTATGGAAGATGCAAGGAGGGGCTGTTCGGCAACATAACATCATTGATATTATTGATTGTGGTACTATAAAGTGCTTAATAAACACACATGCAAACCAACAGTGGAAATGAGCGTTCATGGTTTTACCTGCAAGATATTCCTAATTCTGTACATGCCATAGTGTGCACAGCATATTAGCACATTATGGCTGCTTACCTGCCAAAATGATCCTCTCTAGTGGTGCACTCCTACCTCACCACTACCTCCATCTAGTTCCAAGTGTTCGGCCACTTGATTGGCCAGGTCTTAATGATGCAACTCCTGCACATGCGGACAGGAGTTACTTCATCTCGGCATGCCGTGTCTGTGCACGGAGCTAGACATGCGCAGCTCAGTGTACAGAAAAAAAAATTGTAGACAGGTAAGAAAGACGCTTTTATAGCAGATTTGCAGTTTCTTCTGCCATAGAAAGCTGCCAGTCAGCACGTTTTTCTTTTTTTACTTTTACTTCCACTTTAAATATTTGGGTGCTCCAGAACAGCAGGTTCTAGGTTACATGTTCCAAGAACACCAGGTTACAGGGAAACTAACCATTTGACCAGTATGGTGCAGCCAATTGAAAGCCTGGGCTACACCCAGTATACCTTTCATATGTTTTCATGTTTAATTCACACATTTTATAGATTGTACAAAGAAAGAAACCTGGTGCTGGAAGTGCTCATAGAGATCTTTCTTCTCCTCCTGGGCTCTGATCATATCAAGGACTTGGCGGTTCTCAGGCAGGCAGGTTGGGCAGTCAGAGTCACTCTCTGCGTAGCTCTCAAAGCAGTGTTGGTGAAAGGAGTGACCGCACAAAAAGTGCACCGACGGAAGTTCTAGAGCACTGCTGCAGATACTACATTTCGTCTTCTGGAAAGTCTTGGGGCTTCATATAAAAGAGAGACAAATTCACATCACTCAGTTCTGAGCAATAACAATGTTACATGAGAAATTAGACAAAGTAATTAATGGTTTAACAAACTGTTGAAGTCTAATTATTTGTCATTAACTTAATTCTATCTCAGATTATTAAACAAAAATGCAGCAAGTATGAAGGACAACCTTCAGGACAATCACACCGGTGATCCACGAAATCTGAAGCACACCTTGTACAAATAACATATTTAAAGAGTATGCATAGACAAAACTTGTCTTTAAGGCATTGGATAGTGTGATGGGGTTTATTAAATGGAGTTAAGCTGAAGCAGTAATTTCCATCAAATACCTTTAATTCACAAAGCAACAAGCGTCATCCCGGTCCACAGCAGCTGGGAGTGACAAAATCCTTGTCGCTTTCGCCTTCATTCACCATAGGGGAGCTCAGCACAAGGATGTTCACTGATCTTCCTTTGCTTTAGATACACTTAAAACACCCTTACAGTAAAATGGTGACCTCTGCCACAGATAGAATAGGGTAGGGATGGAATCCCCTTTCAGGTTTAATTTCTCAGATTGGATGCAGGTATTGTTCAGGTATTTTGAGAGCCAGCGGGGACCAACTAGCAAGATACTGAAGCTTGGCCCAGTGGGAGATTCCTCCATCCACACAGTTTAGCCTAGATGGAGGAATCTGTTGCATTTTTTCCATCTGACCATAGAAAATCTGCAGATAATCTATATATGTGTATGGCCAGCTTTAGTGGGCATCAGGAGTTACCACAACTACTTAGGTAACTGGGTGCCATTTAAAAGGTATAAAGGGGAAAGAATTAAGAGGTAAGGGAATAATTAGGTTGTAGGGATGTTCAGATACCAGTGACGATACTTGGCATTTTCATGAGAACTACCAGGGTTACAGCTGGGACCTGACTCTGGTGCTCCACCGCTGTCCTGAAATCATTAGTCTGCATTGTTTTAGAAAAACTGTCACATGACACTAAACAAAAATGTATCAGTACTTGTATCCGTGAGTACTTGGGCAAGTATCAGTACCTGTACTTGCAAAAATGATATCCATGCATCCCTTATATATGTTAATTTAAAAAATCATACACTAAAACAGGAATGTACAAATCCCAGGAGCTCCGTGTGCTCCTTACAAATAACAGCTGCCTCCTAACGTTTGAATTTTTCTCTAGTCTAGTCCTGGAGCTGGAAAGGTATCTGTACTTGTACTGAGTACGGTACTTGTGGTATCTGAACATCCCTATTAGGTTGTATATAAGGCAAGAGTTTTTGTGAAGGTCAGCTACAGTGCATTCTAACAAATAATACCGAAAATCCTTTGACCCAAAAGGTCTTTGCATTGGTGTTAGGTCAGGTTTTGAACTGAAGATACATTGATCATGACTATAAAAATGGTGCATATTTTGCTACATCTGTGTGATGGTCTATGGTTGTCCTTGAAGCAGTAAACCTCTAATGATCGCCAGAAGTCTGTACCACATATTCTTAGAATGCTACTAAGAGAAAACTATCTTTGTCTTTTCACTAGCGTCTGCTTTATAGTCTGACAGTGGAACTAAATCAATGACTTTTAGCAACTACAGTACCTTTGTTCTAGAATATATTTGGTAACAAGACTCACCCATTTACCTTATTAGCAGGGTTTTGAAGGTATAAGTATAAGCAACTCTGTGAATTGTGGGTTGTTTTGTCCATGAAATACAGCATAACATGTGGAATTGCCACATTCACCTTTCCTTACCTATTACGCAGTTCGTGGATCTCTCGGCGAATGCGAGCGGTCTCCTCCCTGTATTTTTTAACAGTTCTTTCATCATCTTCTGTCTGCTGGCTCAGTTTCTGCATTTTGTTGATTAAGTAGTCCCTAATCACAGACAGAGTGGCTGTGGAATTATGAGCCAGTGTCTGCACCACTGTAACATAAGATCCGGAAAAATACAGTAAGGCACATTTTCACAGAAAACTAGAATCGACTTCAATCCATTGTTGTGCATTATAGAAGAACTCTGCAAAGCAGTATTTGCATGTACACTGATCAGGGTAACTTAACATCTTACACAGAAAGACAGTATGGGTTAACAGTTATATTTCTCTGATGTAATATAAGCAATGCCCCCTCAACATTGGTGGCCAACAGCAATGCCCCCTCAACATTGGTGGCCAACAGCAATGCCCCCTCAACATTGGTGGCCAACAGCAATGCCCCCTCAACATTGGTGGCCAACATCAATGCCCCCTCAACATTGGGGTGGTTAGTGACGTTTGGCCTGGTGGCAGCAGTGTGGCGTTAGTAGTGGCAGAACTTTGTGATGTGCAGTGTCAGTTGTCACAGTCTCTCTGCAGATATCACTACAGGGATGAAGAAGTCATCTCCTCTGTCAGGTTAGAATCACACAAGCATAGTCTTTACAATGTGTAAGAGACTAGTTACTAAAACCAATATATTACTATCTTATTTACCATTTTATTGGCTAATAGTCTTGTCTTCCTATGAAGCTACCTGCAATGGACTAGTACATTTGGGTTTCCTTGTCCTTTATAGAAATTACCAAGAGAAGGCTCCACCCTTTACACTCAGGGTTTTGAAGAAAGCAGGTTGAAGTGGATTTTATGAAGTCGATTTATTTTCGAATGGAGCGATATGTACCAGATTATGTGGCCTTTAGCTGTTTCAATTGAGTCTTAAATACACAACCTTTAAAGTTAGGAGCATAGAGAACGCACCTAGTAGCGGAGGCATGAGATTTTTCCTTTCAATATGTTTCAGCACAGTGGCAATGTGTTCCTTACAATCTTCCTCTTTGCGGGCAAAGTAGCCAAGTGCTTGCTCCCACAGACAGCTCTCTTGCTCCCCGTACTGTTTACAAGCTTCAATCACTTCTTGGTACTGATTGTTTTGCATGTGGTAATGCATAATTTGCTGAAAACTAGGAAAAACAAATGAATGTGATAAAATGCATTACTTACTCTCACTTTCTAAAGGCAGTCGCTGGGCAGATGTACTTACAGTTTGCCTTGCTCATACAGATACAGCACTCCTTTCTGAAAATTGTGCATTTGGCATAGGACAAGAGCTTTATCAAACACATTCTTAAAGTGTCCACTCTTCAGAAGGGTCATGACATCATTTTGAAGTTGCTGCCGTGCCTGTTATGAAATGTATTAGGTTTAATATCAGGTTAGGCACATACAGCCCACCGGTCAAATAATACTAATGAGACTGTGGTGGGAAGATGAAGAAATAAGTTCTTTTGGGATTGTGACTTACGTTCACCCAAAATGATGTTACTGGTGAATTTCTTGGTCTTGGATAGTTCAAACAATGAGATCTCCTCCTCATAATTCCCAACTCTGCTCCCGTTTACCTGGCGGTTTGGGGTTTTCCCACCACCTCTGGGTGTTCCAGCACCTCCTGTTGCATTTTCCACAATACAAAAAAACCCCCCAAAAGAAAGAGTGGGACCCCCTCATAATGCTACAGCGGAGCGGGTATGCAGACACACAACGGAAAGATATATCAACAGAGTCCCTGGGAGAAGAAATGGTCAGGTGGTTTACCTCTGCAGCATCTACCAGAAAAGTTAAACATCAGTTTGGGGTAACCTTTAGCCCTCATTCAGACGGGTAACGGCCGGCCCGCACAGATCCGTGCAGGGCTGTATCGGCAGCTCCCGGGCAGGAAGGACGGGTGCTGCGTGTGATTATACTCAGCAGCTCCTCCTTCTCCATGGGAATATGCTGCCCTACGCTGACCAGGCCCGCACATCCGTGCAGGTGCGGGAGTCCGTACTCGCACTCTGACAGGATGGATCCTGTCTGCGTCCGAGCAGGGACACCCGTACCGGGACGGACGCGCAGGTCGGGTGAGCGTATGGCCGGAGATTCCCATAGAGAAGGATAGGCTGCTGGGTATAATCACACGCAGCACCCGTCCTTCCTGCCCGGGAGCTGCCGATACAGCCCTGCACGCAGCACGGATCGGCCGTTACCCGTCTGAATGAGGGCTAAAGGTTAGTACATTTGTGTTCGTAAATGCTAGTCATATATTCAGTAGACATTTACTGACCATTTAGTAACGAATTGTCTGCAAAGCTTAATAGCTGAACCTTGCTAAATACCTGTCACCAGAACCAGATCTCCCTTGCCTTGCAGTTAAACATCAGCTGGGCAGCTCTAGGCAAAGCATGCACTAATACAAATGTAGGCAGGGCAGATGCTAAGCACACATGGTACTTACTTGAGGCTCTTTCTCATGTGCCCAGTTTTGCAAACGCAACTCCAGCAAAGTATCATATACTCCTTGGGGGGAATCACTCAGTACTTGTATCATATGTTCAAGAAAGTCCTTTAGTTCACAAGGATTGTTGGCAAAAATAGGAATGAATTCTTCAGGATTTGCCTGGATAAAAATGATACCGACCGAGTTAAAATAAAATGTTAAACACATCAGAAGGAACCTTTTGTGGTTGCCATAGACAGTCATTACCTCTAGCTTAGTGCTCTGGAAGTTACCCTATGAATCAATGCCCCCATTCAGTACTCCCACTGGAACTAGTGTGTCTCTATCCATGTTAGTAACCTTTGATCTTGTTATAACCTTTTCTCTTTGTGGCTTAATGAATGTGCCTTGCCACATTCATTTGCATTTTTTTTTTTTAAATTGTGCATCTGTATTGAAAACATTAAATTTGGCTCCTTGGAACCTATTTGTCTCCTTTGGCTTTGAAAATTGCATATTAAAATGCTAACTGACTGCTCTCTTGTCCTTATTCTAATTATTTTGTCCACCCTGTGACTAAACTGAGCCACCACGAGAGGAATGAAGAATGTTAAATACAAACTAAAACATGTATCTGTCAATTATTTCTTCTACGTTTTAACTCCACTGTGTGTGGCTCTTATTCTTACAACTTTTCAAAGCCAAAGGGTCTGCCTTGTACAGCGCATGTTTATTTCTTCATGAAAACTATGTGATCTTGGAATAGGTTACCATTGCTGGAAAAATATACTACTACTGAATGAGAGACAATAGCAATAGCACCTTCTTCTGTGATAGAAACAGTACAGCAAGAACCGTAAAGAAATGTGGGGCTATGATCCTGAATGAATGTTTATAGGATGCTGAAGAGGAATACGGTTTTACCAGAGAATCAGCTGGCTTGTCCAGCACTCAGCTTCTGGTAAACGCTTCCACGGTCTGGGTCAGGATGTGCACCAAAGCCACATAAGCAATGATGACAGTCAGGGCAGCCATCAGGGGGCTACGGCCGATACTCATGTAAGGGGCCCGGGCAGCCCGCCCGGGTCCCTTACATGACTATCGGCCGACGGTGAAGGGCGAGGAGGCGGAGGCCTGTCCCTAGCATCGCAGGGCCCCAGCATTGCCGCTCCAGCGGCTTCGAGACAAGCTGGGGCCCCATCAGCGATGCTGCTCGTCTGATGTCGGACTGGCCGGCGGCAGACGAGACCACGTGTGCAGGTGCTAGGAAGGTAGGAAGGAAAGGAGGGATGCAACCCTGACCAGGCCACCTGAGACCCCTGCAGAGCCCACCATAGACAGTCTCATATGGGCTGTGCAGCATCTATGGTGGGCTCTGCAGGGTCACTCTCAGGTTGGTCCTGTGTTCAGCGCGTCGCTAAGCCCTGCGTCCAGCGTGTCACTAAGCCGGTGTCCAGCGGTGGGGGGGGGCCCGGCCTAAAGCCGTGTAAGGGGCCCCAAAATTTCTGACGGCTGCCCTGATGACAGTACCCGAGGGACTGGAGGTCTGATGGCATTGATTCATAGTTTGATAGGCAACATATGTCATAGCTCAGCGAGACAGATCACATCTGGTTTCGCATGTTGTCACCAAGACCTGGTAAGGCCCAGAGAGACGAGATTAAATGAAAAATTTAAGAGAAGACATGACATACAGTTGGCAAAGCTTTTTCCTCACTATGAACAATGACCTCTTACTCATTCACTTTGTGTGTGGAAATTTCGGCTTGAGCTACTGATACTAGTAAACAGGAGGTAAGAAATAAAAAGGAGCCTAAAGGGCCACTTGCTGGCTGAAAATGAGAACATTTATACGCAATATGTCATATTTATCCAACTTTTAAAAAAATGATTAACTCTTACAGTAATAGGTGAATATGATACCATGGCAACAGTCTTGGAAAATAAACTGCATCATTTAATAAGGATTCCCACAGCACATTCACTTTTAGCAGCTGCCACTCACCTTCTCTCTTCCCTCATTCTGAGCAAAGTTGGTACATAAGTCTTTCAACAGCTGTGTTGTCTCATTGGGCACATGATACATGAGTATCTTTCCGTAGCATTTCATATTGCTTTCTATTTGAGGGAAAGGAAGCCGTCCAATGTATCTCAAAGCTTCTTGAAAATTCTATAAGGTAAGTAACACATATCAGTATTGAAAATACGTATCAGAGATACATTTCTGAGCGCATAACAAAATTCATCTTACTTGACCTTTGGTAATTTAAACATTCTTGTAGTAAAATGGGCTTAGACACAGAGACTGGGTGGCTTAGAACTAGAACTATGAGGTGAGCGATTTTCAAACTGTCACAGGTCGGCTCAATAGATCGGGAAGTGAGCGAATGCATACCGTCGCTCGCTCACAGTCCAATCATCTCCCTGCAGAGAGTGGTGACCGACAGTCACTGCTCCCCGCAGGGATTCCCCCACTCCCCGCTCCAATCCTCCAGCGCTGACTGGAGGAACGGATGGGGGAGGGGCGGGCACAGCTATTTAGGCAGAGCCAGCAGTCATTCACACAGCTGGGTGGATCTCGACAGCATTGTCGGGATCAGTCCCGGCTGCGCAGATCTCGGTATATAGTGAGCCTTGGGAGAATTATGGGATAAAAAGGTTACCTTATAGTTCTCTTTTAAACAAGGGATTAAACCAAGAAGGCCATTTCTGTTACACGGTTAGTCAATAAAGTCAAGGTAAAGTAGAGTCAAATCTGGCAGATTTGGGTATTTTAACACTAAAAAAAAACAAACTTTAAGATCAAGCATACTATGTCAGAAACCTTTTTACAAAAGGCGATAAACTGTATATATGGCCTGTATGACCGGATTCTTTTTCCTGCCCATTTAGACACTGACTGTGCAAGTCAATCCGCACATGTGCAGGTTGTATAAAGATTAGGTGACTCCAGATCTGCTCTGACCATGTAAAAGCATCCTAAAGTTCACCTGCATCCAGCCGAACGACATTAAAGTAATAAATACTCTTAACAAACAGTAAAAGAACTTTAAAACAAGTTCACACAGATCTCTTGGGCTGCTTGTAATGAGAATTCATTAATAAAGATCACAACAGAGACACTAAAATCTGGTTTCAGTCAGTTTCTAACAGAGGAAACATATGCTGTGTGTTTACATTGAAGGGCTAGGAGGCTACCAAGATTCTGGTGCATTAGAAAGTAATAGCTAACATTTCAATGTCTCTGTTGTGCACTTTGACAATTACATTTTCCACAATGCATATAGCTAAAGAGAGTGAGGGCCTGGTTTATGGTGCTTCTACTGCTTGTTCAGAATATGTAAATCCTTTAGTATGCATAGTCTGGGCACAGGTTAATTAAAGCTCAAATAATGAGGCAGAGCATAGTCAGGCATAAAAAGATCACTTACCTTGATATCTTCTAGCTGTATCTTTAAATACCATTCATGATGGGCATGTTTTTCTGCCAAGTACAGGGCATGCGAATGATAACCAGCTTGCCGAAGAACCTTAATAGCTATTTCCACATCAAAATGTACTTCATCCACACTGCCCTTAGGAATGGATAAGCAAAAGTTATGGAGCAACAAAAAATGAAAACAATATCCATTAAAATAAAAAAGCTGAAGTAAGACTCATACAATTGACACAAGTGTAATTAACTGAACAAGACAACCACTTATCCTAAGGAGACTGCATGTTCTGAAAGACTGATTATTGATGTAAAGATCTAATAAGAGCAGAAAAAGCAGCTGTGCTCACTTTAATAAACTCCTCCAGATGAGCGCTGTCCTTTAGCTTTGTGTAGCAGTTCAGTAATAGAGTGGTGTGGTCTGCATTGGCTAGAGATTGCAAATGCAAAGCCTGAAGATACGCTGTCAAATTATGTATCCGCTGGGCATCTAGAAATTTTCGGATCACATAGGAGGGCTCTAATTTTCCAATTGTGCTGTAAAAGAAAAGAAATGGAACAACTGATTGTACAAGGTGCAGAATAATGGATATATAAAAGCAAGAAGAAAAAACAAGGCAAGAAATATCTTCCAAAAAACACAATCTGCAGGGCAGTGCTGCAAACCCAATTCACAATGGCGACAGCCCTGGAGACCAAACTGTCCATAAGCTCTCCCACAAATTTTCCATGAACAACTAAATTAAGGAACATTGGAAACAAAAGCATTACTACTAGTAGGAAACAGAGGTAAACATAAAGGGTCAATTTACCAAAAAGTGGCATTTATGTGGTTCTTATTCTTCTTGGATACTTCCACTGTGAAGTATCTTCTCTCAGAGATTTGCTTAAGGCTCTATATCACACATGAACGGTTTTCTAAAAACGCTAAACATAAAAAACAATGCATTCCAATGTGAATTTTTCACATGAGGGCGGCGTCCGTGTGGTACGAAAACCTGCATCCCGCAAAAAAGTACCATTACAATTTTCTGTGCGGATTCCGCGCGTTCCGACTGCGCATGTTAACGTTTGCGTGTTTTTGCTACCAATATGTGTGAATGGAGCCCAAGTTGTTCCTAACCACCTTTGCATGCCCTAGCAACAAAAAGGTCCAACAGGGTAGAGTTGTATCCCCTCATAATGAATAATAACAGACAAGAAAAGACAAGGCGGCTTGTGATGAGGTGACAGAAGTAAGGTATGAGGTAACAAGGGGTGAGGTCAGGCCAGGTGAGTGATATGATGACAGGTAATGAGGTATGAAGTTAAAGGAAAAGAATTAGGTGGTGAAGATACAGACAGGAAAGAAAGCAACCTGAAATTATAATTCCATGCAGAGTATGAACCCAGAAAGGGCCCTTCACAATGCAATGGGGATGTGGGGGTGTCAGGACTTCAGGCATCAGACAACAAACTGGAAAGAGAATGTATACATTATTTTTTGCCGGGGAGCCCATGACTCCAGTGTTCCAGTAACATCTCCCCACCAGAGTACTTAGCTTGGCACTACCAGGCAACAGACATATAAGGCAGCCCATTAATTTTAAATTGGTAGGTCTTGTTTGTTCTTTTTGTGCATTTGCGTGTTCTGGTGCACTGTAGCCAGGCCCGGCGCTACCGCAAGGCAAGTCAGGCGGCCGCCTGAGGGCGCTGCAGGTTGAGGGCGGAAAAAACAGGGCATTTTGACAAGTACTTGTCAAAATGCCCCGATGTTTGCGCTATGTTTTTTTGTTGGCAGAGGCAGCAAAAATTCACCTTGCCTGTGTAGGCAGGAATCCTAGCACCGGCCCTGACTGTAGCACACTGTTGATGTGTTTTTTGGGGTGCAATTTATAATTACTGGCAGCACGCAAATAGGGTGTGCTGATGTGTGTTATAAGAAGTGTTGTAGTGTGAACAAGCCCGAACACAAAATTGCAAACAAATGTGATTACCTGTACAACTTAGTTTCACCTTATAAAAAAGTGGAAGTGAACTCAAAACCTAAAGATCTGCTAACTTATAAGGGACATCTGGAAATATTAACTGTACCTTTTGTCTTAAACGCTTTGTGAAAAAGTGTACTTCATGTGTTTACAGCTCATAGCTGTATATTAGCAGTGTAAAGTAATCTAAGGTACTGTGCATGTTTGTAACTATCTCACTTGGTGATCTCACTACGGTTCTGCTCAATGTTCTCCTTGCTGGAGAGAAAGCTCTACCTGGAGGACCTGCAGTGCAAGGATCTCCCCTGCTTTTGCTACATTCAGTCTGTGGATCTGTGATTGGTGACTAATTCTTTGTTGCCTTTTTTGAGCACAGCTCCCATAGTTCAGGATTATTTTTAGGATTATAATCTGCAGTTGTGAAGGAAATACTCAAAAAAAAATATATTTTTTTCACATCAATTTGGAAATCTACCAAAACAACATTTTCTACACTACCCAATCCCAAGATTCAAGGCTTGGGCAAGGTCTGAACATGGCGACCATAGTACATTAGACACCCAGAGGCAAAGTCATTCATACACAAAAGGGATTTGCTGCTCTGGCAACTCTTATGAGATGAAGATACACATTCTATATTTACTTAATGGAAAGAAGTTCAAGGAGCAATGTCATTCTTTGTGCAAGTTTTGCAATTACAAATCAATGCAATTTTGTCTTTTATACATTGAGTGAAATTCCAGATTTCTATCAATTCGTTTCCTTACATTCTCTTACCATACCTTGAACAGCTGTGATAGTGCTGAGGAGTTTTCCATTAGGTCTATTCTGACAACATTAAGAGAAGCCTCGGTGCCAAGAGATATAAAAACTAAAGGATGACCAACTCTGGCATGTATCCTATAATAGAATGCATGTTTTGGATGAACGGACATTTCAAACTAGACATACCGGATATATTGTTGGATAGCCCCATCATGATCCCCTTTACTATATAGGTGATCTCCATACTGGCGAAAGATCTCAGACAACCCATCACTGTCCAGGTGCTGACTTTTTGCCAGAGAAATGGCCATTACATACAGGTTTTTCTTAAACAGCATCTGTAGGAGGTACAGGAAACAGAGAAGAATAGACATTTTTCAATTTCCTCCTCATCTCTTTCTTTAATCTTTACATTAGTCTAATGTCCCTTCTTATTCCCCTGTGGTTTCCTTGTTTCCCTTTCTAGTTCCGTTCTATTATGAACGCCAGTATAAGGAAAAAGTAAACAAATACAATATTTACTGTTCATCATCTACTAAGAAACTTATTTTTTATCCCACTATCTCAAATCTATTACAAATTCAAAATCATTGCCATTCATTGTCCTAGGGTAGAGTTCCTTCCTGAGCCTAAGATATCATGTATGTTGACCAGTGATCTGCTCCCATTAGCACTGGCCTTTACCATGAAGGTTATAGCAGCCTGTAGATCAGGGGTAGCAAACCTGCGGCCCTCCAGCTGTGGTAAACTACAAATCCCATGTGGCATTGCATTATTCTCACAGCCACATACATGACTCTCGAAGAGAGATGCATCATGGGATTTGTAGTTTCACCACAGCTGGAGGGCCGGAGGTTTGCTACCCCTGCTGTAGACAGATACATATGCACTTGGTATTGCCACAGTTGCAGTGTTCTGTTTGCAAAAAAAAAAATCTCTATTTTGATTGTGGGCAAGCAGGATAACATGTACAAACTTCTTTCTAACATAATTCCTGTACGTATATTTACAGTTCCAAAATATTACAATAATGGACAATATGCATTGCATGTTACACCATTTATTTCCACATATTTCAATATTTCACAGTCAAATTCAGTAAATATTTTTGTTTTAATACCCTGTACCAGGACAGCACACCTGAGAAATTCCTTCATATGTACTGTTTGTACCCAGCAGGTGGTAAGCTAAGTTAGAACACCATCTTTATGCAGTCTCTTTCTATGGCAGGAGAGATCACATTACACAAACTGCTGAAAGATAGAGAGACATCTTTCCTGAAAACAAGTCAAAGTCTGATTGAGGGCAAAAAAAAAACAGGTTTGCTTTAATCTCCCATCCCCAGCAATATACACATACTGTACCTTTCCTTCACTCCTTGGCCCCACGATTATGCATCAGGAGCCAAAGTAAAAAGCAAGTAATACCAGGTATGGAGGATTATAGGACTCGCTTCATGTCACAGAGTAGGGTCAACCAATAATATCACATGGGGAGCCCTGTGCAAGCTATGACTTTGGCAACTGTAGTTTACACAGTGCTTTCCATCTGTGTCTAGCAACTGAATGTAGTGGCAGTGAAAAAAAAGGAAGGATATAGGTCTGCGGAGTACTATATTAAAGTAAACCAGTTTGCTTTGGCCTACATGGCCCTACAGAACACTCGAAAAACAAGTGTATAAAGGACAATCAATTTATAAAATGCAGGTCTGTATCTGTCAAGCTTGTGTGTTTGTACCTATAGGACAGTCAGAGGGGGCGCACTGCAGGCATCAGCCTGTTACAAGGAAAACCAACAACCTAGCTGGGATTCATACTTTTTCTAAAGAGACTCTAGTATGGGGACAGACATATAAATGGTCCCTGACCCGGCTGTACATGACTAAAAACATTTTCGAGTCAGTTACATACAAGCCAACAGCCATTAAAGCAAGTATGCATCCTATATTAAAAGCTTTATTGTAAAATAATGTACTTGTTTTGTAAATGTTTAAATGGGAAAAAAAAATGAGCAAACCAATATGTCTTTCACTGAAAGAAGTGGAAAAGATGGTTACCTCTAGTTTAGTCTGTGTGTCCTTCTCATGGAAAGCATGCAGGAAGCCATCACGTGTCAGGACGTAAAGAGAGCCCCATTCAGCCAAAACATCCACCACCTCAGTCAGTGTGCAGCTGTATGCAATAAGCTTGTTTCCCAAATCATAAATGGTCAATGTCTGTCTGTCAGGTGCATGGCTATCTCCTGAACGCACAGCAAAGTCTGATCTGCAAGTGAAGCACATGTGTGACTAAACAAAAGTAAAACAAGCAATAGCAACTGTAGCAATAACGTAATAAGTACATCATGAATGAGAGACCGAAAACAAAACTTTATTACACAGAAAGCAAAAGGAAGGAATGTAACTGCTGACCTCTCTTTTGTTACAATGATCAGGTAGCCCCGATACCAATGCACAATCAATTTCTGTCCTTCAAAAGCAAAGCAGGGTCCTCTCTCGTCTGGCTGGTATAAATATATGCATTCGTTACCGGCCACCACAAATTGCATGTCTTGCGATGGGTCAGACAAGGCTGAGCAACGCAGGCCGCAGCCATGAGAATCTAGTTCGATGAATGGGTAATCCTTAAGTGTCAACTCATAGGCCTGAAAGAGTAGAAAAATATAAAACAGGAGAGAGATACAGACGAGAATTCAAGTAGAACTAAACACTCCCAGTGCTCTTCTAGGGCATTCTTAGCAAAACAAGATCTCATATGTTTCTGTTACAAAACGATAGTCTTCCCTTTATAGTGTACATGTATTATTTCCCAGTACAGTGCAGATTGTGTAGACTAGGTGTAAACATTATTAGGATGTGTGCACAGTTTTAGGCCTCAAGCACACTGGCCGGTTATCTATTCAGTTATCTGCTAAGTATAAGTAACCTTTTGCTTCGCAGATCACTTCTTCCTGTGTTTAGTTGTTGGGCTTAGTCGTGTTTACCTGCGTAAAACCAAGCTAAACGGACCCAGGACGCAGAAGTTTCTACTTTGGGTAAACGCTTCTAGACAGAGTGAAACCTAGACACTGCTGAGAGCATTAACATGAGTCCAGGTGCATTTAGAAAGGAGCTCCAAAATGCACCTGGACTGAGGTTTTTTCAACGCCATGTGCATGAGACCTACCTTGTGTGTGCTAGTAAGCTGTGTGCGTCTATACAGACACAACAAGGAAGGTTTTTCCCTGCGTCCCACTCCTCTCTCTTCCCTTCTCCTTGCTAGTAGATGGTCAGCTGCTGGAGTCTGATCTGCCCCTTGTGATCATGTACTGGACAGGAGATTCTGAGAAGCCAAACTGACAAGAGTTGGAGCCTAGCCTTCCTGCCCCTGGGACGACAGCACAAGGAATTAGGGGGGCAGTTGTGGACAAGAATCCACATACAGCATTAATAATATAATATTGTCCCGACACAGAAGGAGTATGCAAACAAGGAGTTAGAGCTGAACATTTCCTTTGCCCAAGCAGGAAAAAGAACCTTACTTTCACTTCCTTGCCTTTCTGTTTACCCGCTGGGAACAAAGGGACTCCCATGCTCTCTGGTGATTGGCCCAGCGCTGTCACACTGGGTTGGGGAACAAGCCTTGAGTGACCTCTGACAAGCTGGTTTTGAGCTTACACAGGGCTTCCTTTCCCTGACGACTAAATACATAAGATACATGTTAATGGGGAAGAGAGAAATCCGAATGAACATTTTACATTGCCCTGGGCAAAGAAAAGATGTACCTAAAGTGCAACTGAAGCCAAAACCTTTTTTTTTTGTAGTGTTGGATAGAGAGGGATTACAGCAGCTGTCAGATTTGTATTGCTGTCACCCTCTCTATTTGTCCTGGTGAGAATTATTACTGAAAGGCAAACAGGAATGGATGCAAAATATTCCACTTGGGACACTAGTTCTGCTGACCCTCTGACCACCAGGGATTTCCTTCTCTTGGGAGTGATTTTCTCTCACTTTCTGCTGTGGGTATCGGGAAATCTCCCCAGTGGGACACAGATGGCAAAAGAGCCAACAGGTTATAACCCTCCCTTACGCTATCCAAAACTAAAACGTTCTGGCTTCAGTTCTACTTTAAAGGGAGGGTTAGTGTTCGGTTCCAGGAAGGGTTGGTGCTAGGTTCATTTGTACAAAGTTCCTTTACTTGCAGGGTTGGGCTTTAATAAAAAAAAAAAATAAAAAAAAAAGGCCCATCAACCACTTGCAGTAATCAATGGCAACATTTCTTATTCTTATAGAATATTCATAAACAATCCAAGAAGATAAACAACAGCAACACATTCCAGGCAGATCCATATTAGCTGTATTGTGTGCTAGGATTAAAAGGAGAACTATGGGGTGAGTGTTTTTCCCCATAGTCGCTCCTAAGGGTAACGGGAGGACATAAACTAGCCTCCTCCCGTGACCCAAAGCTCAGTATACAGTGAGCTACAGCTCGCGGTATAACGAGACAGCCATAGTGAGCGAGCGACGGTATGTGTTCGCTCACTTCCCGATCTATTGAGCCGAAGTGTGACAGTTTCATTGTCACACGTTGGCTCGAACGATGAGGTTGAGTGAAAATCACTCACCACATAGTTCTCCTTTAAGGGCCTTTTTCTAAAATACATAAGCCTGGTTGTCCCGTGCTTTCTTCTGTTTGTGCAGCGATAAAACCTGAATGTATACAGGCAACCACAGGATGGCCAGCTTGAGTCCTTGTCTTAATATCCCTTGAAACTGAATAAACCCCTAAAGCAAAGTGAGAACATATAATCCGTCCTTGACCACAAAACCAAGCCAGATGATCCACCACTGCTGCCAAAATGATGCAGGTCAGATTACATGAAAGGGCAGCAATAATATTCCATACAAGTAAAATTCTGTACCTTCACATACTCTGTTGTTACAACAAATAGATGGGTCGTCTTGCCGGTTTGTCTGAAAGCCATGCCTGTAACAGGGAAGCTCCCTTCCTGCAAAATTTGGGTCTTACTGTGTCTGTCTCGTGTTATGTCACCCTTGGTTAAAACCACACTTCCATCTGCAAAACCTAAAGGCAAGAAGAAGGATGAGAACAAGAAAACACACTGGGGGGAATTTATCAATACTGGAGCAGATTTGCACTGCAACCAATCAGCTTCTCTGTCTCATTTTCAAATCTTACCCGAGCCAACTGAAAAGAGATGCTGATTGGTTGCCATGTGCAACTGCTCCAGATTCTGTCTGCTCCAGTTTTGATAAATCCCCCCCATTGAATGCAGCACAAAAAAAGACACAAAGTAGGATTTGGCTCAGACAGGAAAGGTAAAGAAGTTTTTTTTTTACGTTTAAGCCTTTGCATGACCTAGTGAATTTGGTACTTGTTCAGACTGTCACACAGGAGTCTTTACATGTACTGTAGTTTCACACAAACTGGCCTTTACAATTTACCTGACATTAAATCCCAACTGGAGCCAAATCCATACTTTCCTTGTCCTTTCAGAAAGCACCAAAAACAAGCAGGGACGGTTTCTCAGCCCTGAAACTAACGAATGCTGAAGTTCCTCTTTAGGTGCGTACTCTGTCTTGCTAAATATTTTGGATTTATAACACAGTAAAAAAAATAAAAGCAATACTGTGTGAAGTGCTGCATCCCACATAGTTCATGTCACTTTGGAGATTCCAGCACTGATATTATAACACACTGCAAATAGGTGACAAACGTTCAATGCATGAAAGTAACAGTGTCATGGTATCATCACGGCCAACATGGCTATGATCAGTGTTTATGGCTGTGATGAGTGATTTGCTTGTGGTTTAGGTTTGGTTTCAGTTCACATTTATAGGATTTAGTGATGTGTGTTATTTAACATTCCTGCTTGCTGATTTTGGTACATTTTCAGCAAATACATAAAAAAATTAGAGTAACAAATTAAAAAAGCAGAGATCTGAATTATCCTTAACATTTCATTACAATGTCAATGCCAAGGTTGAGTATATACTGTATAAATAAGCTGAGCTATAGCGGCACCTGTGTGTGCGCGTGCCCGCTAGTGGCTGTGTGCGCCCATAGATACATAGCACTGCAGCAGGCAACGCCCCTCCTCTCCGCCCAACAGGTTGATTGTCAGCAGAAGGAGCCTATGGCTCCTCTGCCCTCAATCTCCTCCACCGCAACCAGGAAGTACGGATGGAGGATTGCTTCGGGGACCCGCAGCGGTGACAAGCAATGCTGACAGGTAAGTGTGTGGGGGGGGGGGCTTACAGGAAGAGAGAAGGATATGAGGCAGCCGACATCCACAGAAGATCTGTGCTTAGTTCTCCAAGATGTGTGGAACCAGCTACCTGCCGAGTTCCTTCAAAAACTGTGCGCAAGTGTACCTAGAAGAATTTATGCTGTTTTGATGCTGGCAAAGGGTGCAGACACCAAACATTGATTTGATTTAAATTTCTCTTCTGTTCATTTACTTTATATTTTGTTCATTGATAAAAAATATTAACCGTTTTATTTCTGAAAGCATTCTCACTTTACAGCACACCTGCATAAAACATTTGCACAGTACTGTGTGTATATGTATATATATATACAGGTGAAACTCGAATAATTAGAATATCTAAAGTTGATGTTTTCATGAACTGTGATGCAGGATACGACGGTGGGTTTATTACCAGGAATGGCTGGGAAAATTCTAGTGCAAAGGGGGTTGCCCCCATCACGTTTTTCTAAGTTCCAGACTTTCACCTGACAAAAAAAAGAATGTTTTTTTCAAACTACAAACAGAAAAAGGAAGCCTGTGCTTTCCACCAAATTAATTTTGTAAAGGCATACAGCAGGGCAAATGAACAGTAGCGGTGGATACAGGCCTCTTCCTAGGATCATCAGTGGGGGGGATCATCTACAGGGGTATAGGGGCTGTGGTCTCAAAGTACCGGCCCACGGGCCAATTGCGGCCCGCAGCCAGCTCAGAAGTCAGGTATGCGGTCACATGGTTTACATGGCTGCATGTAAATGCCTGCACACCTCATGTAATGGTATGTGATATGATTACATTCAGTTAGGAATCAATCACTCTACCTGGACGCAATGATTATGCATCTAGGAAGAGTGTTTTCTAAACGCATGTAATCATATCACATACCATTACATGCGGTATGCCGGCGTTTACATGCAGCCACCCGATCATTAACTTGAATAGGTGACAGTTGTAAACGCCAGATTAGGGATTTCTGCTGCAGGAAAACGCAAGTTTCTGACGCAGGAATCCCTAATCGCACCTACAGATATGAATGGGGCCTTATTGTGAGTGTATATTAGTGTCTGTAGTACCAAACCAGATGTAGTTACATTTTATTTTAAAGTATGAAATTTGGCAAGCGGCCGAGTGAATTGAGTTTGAGACGCCTGCCCTAGAGACTTTGTTGAAGTGTCTTCAATGTTTAAAATCCTCAAATGGTTAAAAGAACTAAAACTTACCAGAGGGTTTGTGCCTTCCTCATCCTCCCCGACAGAGACAAGGATGTTGTGTTGTTTCAGCTGATGAAGATGGGTAACACGAAGTTTGTATGCCTGGAAGGAGGTGAGCTGAAGGGACCGGGACAAGAACCAGATCTGTCCGGTCATATTTAATTTTCAGTTAAAGACATAACCCAAATAGAAGGTACAAATCTCAACTGTTCCACATGGAAACCATCATGATAATGACACGCCTCCTTGTCAACTACATGAGATGAACTCCAGCCAAACACACAGATTACCAACATATGCGAGAGCTGCTTTACCTGTCAAGGATTTGTATTCATGCCCATCCATTCCTACGATTTATACAGCTCTACCACAAAGCAAAGCTCTGTCTGGCAGAGGGGAAGACCTGTCCTGACCTTATCCTTTCCCCACCCTGTGACTGGACAGATAAAGGAGAGGCTGCTCTCTCTGTCACTCTGCTCTCTCCTACCATCAGCAGAGCAGCTAACCCTAACAATGGCTTCAGGACAAGTAGATTGGACTCCCTCTTTAGTCCTTGGACCAGTGGGGTGTTATTTTTAAAATTATTATTATTTCCACACCCCTGTGGAGTAAACACACACGGTGACCACATACAATAAACACACGCACACACACACTGCGATCACAGGAAGTAAACACGCACACACACTGCGATCACAGGAAGTAAACACGCACACACACTGCGATCACAGGAAGTAAACACGCACACACACTGCAATCACAGGAAGTAAACAAGCACACACACACACTGCGATCACAGGAAGTAAACAAGCACACACACACTGCGATCACAGGAAGTAAACAAGCACACACACACTGCGATCACAGGAAGTAAACACGCACACGCTGCGATCACAGGAAGTAAACACGCACACGCTGCGATCACATGCAGTAAACACGCACACGCTGCGATCACATGCAGTAAACACACACTGTGATCACATGCAGTAAACACACTGTGATCACATGCAGTAAACACACTGTGATCACATGCAGTAAACACACACTGTGATCACATGCAGTAAACACACACTGTGATCACATACAGTAAACACACACTGTGATCACATACAGTAAACACACACACACTGTGATCACATACAGTAAACACACACACACACACTGTGATCACATACAGTAAACACACACACACACACTGTGATCACATACAGTAAACACACACACACACACTGTGATCACATACAGTAAACACACACACACACTGTGATCACATACAGTAAACACACACACTGTGATCACATACAGTAAACACACACACTGTGATCACATACAGTAAACACACACACTGTGATCACATACAGTAAACACACATACTGTGATCACATACAGTAAACACACACACACTGTGATCACATACAGTAAACACACACACTGTGATCACATACAGTAAACACACACACACACACACACACTGTGATCACATACAGTAAACACACACACACACACACTGTGATCACATACAGTAAACACACACACTGTGATCACATACAGTAAACACACACACTGTGATCACATACAGTGAACACACCTCAATCACACACTGATGTAACTGAAGACAAGGATTCCAGGGGATTCTGGCGCTCACATACTATATGAGGGAAGTGACTCCGAGTATCACCATTACACTGCACAGCCGGATGACAAGTCACACAATGATAACGACTATGTAAGGATATCCCCAAACACCAGACTGCCCCGGCCGGAGTCGCATACTATCAGTCCAGGCGGCAGGGAAAGCGCCTTTCCGCCATCCCCGGGGAACCGCACCGACTCCTTCTCAAAAAACACGAATTTCCGCCACTGCAGGTACACAGCCATCCTCACTGCTTCCCTTCACACGAATCATGTGATTCGTAATCAAACCACGTGATGCGGCTTGTGTCAAAACGTAACGCAGTCCGCGGATGTCTCGTCACAACGTGTTTTAGATGGCAGAGTTAAGGTCTGCCATCTTTTCTTTGGGCACATTTGCCAGGCTAAGCATTTTATGTTTAAAATAGCCAGGAGTGTAAAATTATTGTACTACTTTGTGTTCAGGAAGGCTTGAGTTAAGCATATGGCTTGGCACATGGTCATGAATTATCTTTTATTGTAAAGGTCAAGGATACGATCATACGAGAGGAATATGTCTGTCATCACAGAGTTTTGTACCTTAACAGGAGTTTTCTGCAACAGTGAGGCTTTTGTGTACATAAAGAGAGTCTAGGGTTGCCACCTGTCCAGGATTCACCCGGAAAGTTCGGATGTTGAATGTTGTGTCCGGGTTTCATGGTAGCTGAAACCCGGACTCAAGATGTCAGACAGACAGGGGCAACCAAAACTAAGATAGGGGCTACTGGCCTAGGGTTGCCACCTGTCTAGGATTCACCCAGACAGTCCGGGTTTCATTTCAGCAGAAACCCGCACACAAGACGTCAGGACAGGGGCTGACTGGCAACTTTTAGCCCAGGGGGCAAGTACCACCCAGAGGCCCATGGTGCAGCAACTTGGCCCCCCTCCCGCTCTGCCTCTCCCCCCGCCTTCTCCCCGCCCGTCTGCCACTTTTGCACATAAAGTGTGAATGTATTTATCGGTTTAGGAAATGTAAAGCACACTGGTAGTGAAGGGATGCTTTGTCAGGGCTGTGCGAGTGCATGACTGCTGCAACCCTGGTAGTTCTGCCACTAACAATACATTACACAACAATGCAGAATACCATCAGCTATAGCGGACTATAAATCCCAGCAATAATGACTACCAACAGCTATATGTATGGGTGGCGCTAGTTACACATGAATAAGCAGCGACTCATTCTCCCCAAAAAATTTCCATCCATCGCTAGAGTGTTCGGGTTTCGATGGAAGAAAAGGTGGCAACCCTAAGGGCCTGTTCACACGACGTCCGTTTTCTGTGCTGACCTGATCCGTACGCTCCTGCACTAAAAATGCATCCCAATGTATTCCTATGTGTTTTATGGGCTACAGTTCTCACGTGCGCAGTCCGTTCAGGTTACGACAGAAAAATACTGCATGTCACATTTTGTACGGTCAGTAAAAGGTTTGGACTTACCTGAGACCCTGCAGAGCACACCATAGATCCTGCATAGCCCTGAGACTCTCCCCATGGTGGGCTCTGCAGGGTCCCAGGCTGCCTGGTCTGGTTGTCGGGATGCCGCCCCGGTACAGTTGATACCCATGTAAGAGGCCCCCCAGACCCCTCACATGGGTACCGGCCATACCCCCCTGATGGCGGTGTTCTTTTAAAGTTTGTGACCACGTTAGAATGTGTGACGTGGTCACACGTTTTAACGTAATCCCGCCCAGTTTTTCGGCAGTGGAATGTGTGACCGCCAATAGGTGAAGCATTCCAGCGCTTTCCCAGCTGTTCCAGGGAAGATCGGCATCGCAAATCGCATGTGCAGGAGAACCGATCTGCCCTGAAACAGCTGATCAGTCCTGAAATGTCACTTCTCTCCGACTGCGATCTCACATTCCACCGCACTCACAAAGTCGGATAGAAGTGACATTTCAGGACCGATCATCTGTTTCAGGGCAGATCGGTTCTCCTGCACATGGGCCCCCCAACAGCCTTAGGCGGTAGTTCCGCCACTGAACATACTGACAGCCCCACTCCATAACTGGAACGCATCAAAAACGCAGCAAAACACAAAGCACCGCGTCTGCAGATCCGCACCTGAAACTTATGTGAACAGGCCCTAAGAGAGTCCCTGCTGGCAGGGACTGGGGAACCATAGGTCTCACCTTCAGACATCTCAGCTCTCCCAGATGTTTCTGGAGTCTTCCGTTATACGATAGCAGCTCCCTGACACCCACTAGAGAAACATTTTATCCGGGAATGGTTTAGGGTAAACCTTTAGGCCCCATTCACACAGGAATCGGCCAGCATGTACAGCTCGGTGCTACGTGCACGGCCGTATCGGCAGCTCCCGGGAAGGATATGTGCTGCATGTGATTAGTACGCAGCCCCTGACCTTCTCTATGGGACTACGCGGCCATACGCCCCCCTATGCTCACCTCAAGTGCAGGTCTGTGCGGGTTTCCTGGCTCGGACGCGGACAGCATCCATCCTGTCAGCATACGAGTACGCTCACCTGCACGGACGTGCAGGGCGCGTGAGCGTAGGGCGGCGTACGGCCGCATAGTCCGTACTAATCACACGCAGCACCTGTCCTTCACGGGAGCTGCCCGATACGGCCGTGTACGCAGCACGGAGCTTTACGTGCTGGCCGATTCCTGTGTGAATGGGGCCTAAATAATATATGACATATGATATTAGACCATGCAGTATTGCTTGGGGTGCCCTGTGTATGAACAAAGCCATTTGATCACAATCACATGGCTATATCAATGAAGCCATTATCAGTTAGTGAGAGGAACAAATGCTCCAGTATCTGTGTGATCAGTCCACCAGTGTTCAGTGGGACAAAAAATGCCTCCATCATTGTTCAGCAGGAATAAGAATCCTCCCAGCATTGGTGTTCAGTGGGATAAAGAATCTACCCAGCATTGGTGCTCAATGATGAAGTGCCACCTTTCGTTGGTGTCAGCGGGCGCATTTAGTAATCAGTGAGTGTATTCAGTGTTATTTACCCGAGGGACAGAAGCGCTGGGTCCCGCACCACTGTCTCCCGTCCACAACAAGTGCCATCAGTATTTGAACTAAGGTCTACAATGCTGACATAGATCCAATGCACAGTGACATTAGTGTCAGGACAGGCACCATCAGGCATTTCGGCTCAGTCACTGCAACCCCAAAGGGCCACTTATTCTTCCCTTTCAGGTAAATCACCCTACAATACCAGACCACTTTTTTCAGCACTCTCTGTGGACTGGTAAGTTGCAATTTGTACCCTACCCAGGTCACCTTGCAACTCTTCATACTGGTTCAGTCTCTTTCATTGTGATGTCTTCAACTCTTTTTTATATTATTTAAGTTAACAATTACTGTAGCATATTTCTTTCTGCAGCAAGTCAGGGTCCTTTCTAGTTTTCCCATTTTTTGGTAACTTCATCATGGGCCATGGAACGCATAGCATGCATTTTTCTTCCTAGCTTCCCCCTGCCCACTTCTTTTTCCTTCTCTGAGCCAGGATTCACTCTTCCAAGAAGATGCCCAGCACTTTTGCGATTGCTGTGCATGGAGCTGCATTGTAGCGTTGGCAAGAAGTATGATTATGGAGCAGGTACCCGAGCATCCTTTACTGTTGCTGTCTGTTGTGCAAACTCATTTCCTACACATTTTACTATATACTTGTCTCTATAGTCTGCCTTGTGCAAACTACTTCTGCATATGACCATTTTTTAATGCCCCTTACTCTTGCTCATTCACCTCCTGCTTTCCAGCTCCCTTGTCAACTCCTCCATACTCGCCTCCAGGACTTCTCTAGAGTCTCTCCCATCCTCTGGAACTCTTTACCCCAACCTGTCCGTCTATCTCCCACCTTGACTGCCTTTAGGCATTCCCTAAAGACTCATCTCCTCAGGGAAGCCTATCACACCTCAACCTAACCATCACGTTCTCAAACAATTCATCCCCACACAGCTACCTCATGTATCACTTCTCCCTCCCTTTTAGATTGTAAGCCCTCGGGGGCAGGGCCCTCCTTATCATTGTGTCTTGAATTGTATTGTGAGTGTAATGTCTTCCTTATATTGTAAAGCTCTGCGCAAACTGTTGGCGCTATATAAATCCTATATAATAATAATAAGTGTAGGTAGGTGTTACTCCTTCTTGGTGACCGTGATTTCATTTCTCTAGTCTTTCTAGACTTATCTCTATATAATTTTAGCTGTATTACATCCCTGATCGTGCTGCCCATACAGAACTCTCAGGATAAAGAAGTTAAATTCTTTAGCAGAGTAGACTTTTCTGTTTTTAAAAGAGATTATTGTCAGTGCCCTGCTCCCTGCAACCCTACATGCCAAGAACGTTGAGGTAGATCACATCATAGACAGAACCAACCAATCAGCTTCTCTCTTTCCTTTTCAAATCTTAAAGGAACAAACTGAATAGAGAAGCTGATGGGTTGCCCTGGGCAACTGCTCCAGATTTTGTCTGCTCCAGTTTCGATAAATTCCCCCCACTATGCCTGCCTTCAGTTAGAAGGCCTATGGAGGTTTGCCAACCCACTTTATGCTGCAGAGGTATACATATGAATAAAAGGAAAAACAACTTCAGTAAAAGCAAGCACCCAACACAGATTTACAATTTATTAACATGAATTATTGTATTTACATTTCAGCAGTTAGAATCTACCTCCCATATTTAGAGACATTTGTTCCCCTGCTTGAATACTTACATATTACTCTCCATCTAATTTTGTCTAATTCACAGAATCAGCTTTCATGTACCTAAAATATAGCAAGACACATCCCCAGAGACACAAAAAATTATATCATTGATTAAATTTTCAAAGTTATATACGGAAAATTCTAACTTTTATCTATAGATGATTGAGTCACCTTTGAAGCCTGCATTAGTCAGTCCACCTATGACCTAAAGGTTGTAAACTAGATAAGTAACACTAGATTAACTTCAATTCATATACAAAGAGATTTTCCAAGCATGGAAAAGAATTCAGATCCTTTAGACATGTTCGAAATATAGGCATCAGTCCAAAGAATTCAGCACTTGAAGGTTTCAATTTAGGAGTCTGCCAACTTGAATCCAATAAGGGTCAAGGGAATCTCACAAGGAATACAGAAATCCCCTTAAACGAAAAAACCCCCAAAAAACTGAAGGTGCCAAACTGTGCAGTAGCCAGCGCTGCTGAGGTCATAGGGAGTATTTTGGGTACGTCACAGTTTTAAATATATATATCATCAGTCTCCTTACATAATTGTCTTTCCAAATAAATGTGCATATTTCTGA